TTGCAGATAGTAACGTTATTCTACTGTTTGTCACTGTTGTTATCTGTCCAGTATCTACATTCAACATCTTCTTCCTTTCTTTAGGAGGAAGTGTTTGCAGGAACTCTGCCAGTGATAACTTCATGTGTGGACGGATATAACGTCTGTATACTGGCCTATGGACAAACCGGCTCAGGAAAGACGTACACTATGATGGGCAGCAAGGAAAACCCCGGAGTCAACATCAGGTCTGTTTTCAGATATGAGACTAAACTGTCTGTGATGTAGTTTAATGATGGTAAAAAACATCTTGTTGAAGTGTCCCTGAGCAAAACTCCACCATAACCACAGCTTTAAATTTACTGTCCAACATTGTTGTGTGTTGCAGAGGAGGTCCTGCTAATATTGTAATATGCCCTATGGGGGTAATATTTAGATTATAAAGTTATACATTTGAGTGAAATAACTTTTTCACTTCACTTTGTAACCTCATTGTGTGAATGTATGACTTTATAATCTCAGAGAATATCCTAGTTTTTTAAAATCTGGATTTTTTTCCCCAGTTTTTCCATGATTATTATCCCCCTCCCCCAGCTCCATAATTTAGTTTTCTGGCCCTAATATGCTGTTGTACAAATGCTGTTGGTTCCACCTGTGCTTTCCAAAACATCTGCTGTGAAAAGTGCAGATTAGAGTTGGTTAGTTAATCAAGTTAATCGATACCCTTGAGAGGTGTCAGAGTCAGTTTTTACAGAACAAAAACGCTTTTATCGACCAAACACATTTCCAAAACCCTCTCCAGTTTGTTGTTATCTCCCTGCCTGGAACAATGAACTGCTGTCAGGGGCCAAATGGGACTAATTGCGTCTCATTATGTGAGGTGTCACCTGACAGCGGTTCATCAATACGTGATGAGGTGAAGCAATAGCTCAGCGCTGACAGAAAGAGTCGGTTTACACGCAGAGGTCGGGTGTCGGAGAGGAGACCATCGAAGCTCTGCTCATTACCATCTCCCGTTACCTCAAGTCTGCATACAGAGGGGTTACTTACTGCCAGTAATGTGTGCGTCTGCTTCCTCAGGTCAATACGAGAACTGCTACGCATCTGTGGAGAAAAAGAGAAGGTCTCCTACACCCTGAAGGTGTGACTGTTGCTTTGGTTGTTTTTCATATAAACTAACCAACTGTGGGCCAAAAACAGGGTGTGAACTACAGGAGAGCCGGATCACACAAGACCTTAATAAGACATGAGCTACCCTGAAAACATGACTCATGAATCATAATTCGTAAAATTCCGATTTTACTTGGTGTATGAATCATGCATGGGGGTGATTCAACAATAATTAGTGTAATAATCAATGTGGGAATCTGAAATCTTCTACATGAACTCATCATTTTCAGATTTCAATGTTGGAGATTTACAACGACAGTTTGAACGACCTTTTGACCAAAAGCACCGGCGCTGCTCTGGACATCAGAGTCCAGGGGAAGTCAGTGTCTGTCCCAGGACTGACCCAGATCCAGGTCCAGACCGAGGTCGACATCCTCAACGTCATGGAGACGGGTGAAAAGAACAGAAAGATCGCCTCGACCAAGATGAACACACAGAGGTGCTGCTCGAATGCTGATGATGATAAAATAATTAATTATGTTAAGAGTGACGCGTCATAATTTTCTTCCTCCTCAGTTCTCGGTCTCACCTGGTGGTGGCGCTGGAGGTGGAGGGCTCAGACGAGGTGTCGGGACTGACGTCTCGTGGCACGCTGACCTTGTGTGATCTCGCTGGATCTGAGCGGATCTCTAAGACCGAAGCTGAGGGTCAGAGGCTGGTGGAGGCAGCCACCATCAATAAATCCCTGACAGCACTGGGACAGGTACACGGACACACCTGGATTGGTTCTGGTCCTGTTCTTCCACCACAGATCCAATTAAAGACTGTTTTAGAGGTTCTCAGGTTATGATGCTCTTTCTTTATTTTCACATCTTCTACATGAATCTTTTAACCTGTTAGCTTTAGCGTCAGTCTTATAACGTGCATATTTAGAATCTCTTTTAAAACACTCTTGTTCTGAAAGGAGACAGGAGAGAGGAGAGAGGAAGATTGACATGGAGGAACACAAGACTAGAAAGGCGCTATACAGTACAGTCCATTTATCATTAACATGTGCGAACCTTGCAGCGGGACTCGCAAGATCACAAAAATCACACGTGAATCTTTGCAGGCTTCAATCTGTGTTTGTGAAAGAGTAAAGGTAAATTGAAGGCTTTTCTTGATGGAAAAGATATTTCTCTCTTCTCCCAACTCACTCCAGTAAGAGTTTGACTACATTATAAGGTTCATTGATCTGACTGAAGTTCTCTGTAATAGACTTATGGTTCATCCAATCACCTGACTGCCCTTTATCAAACAGATTCCAACGACAGCTTCCCAGATGGTTCTTTTTATTGGTTATCACTCTAAGTGTTCAGTCAGGTCAAAGGTCGCTGTTGTCTCTCTTTCAGGTGTTCAGTGCTCTGAAGTGTAACGCCCTCCACGTCCCGTTCAGGAACTCTAAACTCACCCACCTCCTGCAGCCCTGCCTGAGCGACGACGCGAAGGTAAACGCTGACGCTCATCTATTAATGCTAAGAGTCGAGGTTTCTTTAAGAATGTAGGCAGAGTTAGAAAAACCTTGTCTTATTTCATATTATTGTATTAATGTAATAATAAAAGTAACTCTGGGAGCGTTCACTCATTATTGCAGCACGGTTACCCACATCGACGGCCCTATAGTCTCATCATATAAAATAAAATCACACTTAACCAACTATAAAGCTGCTTTTTTATTAACAGAAATGATTAGAATAGTATTAATTTGGGATTTTAGCACTAGTTTGACACCTCTACAATCCTTTTCACCCAGTGTGAGACCAGTTTTCCATAGAAACGCCTGCAGAAAGATTAAAATGACCAAAAAGTCTGGAAATATTTTATGTTGTCCTGGAAAAACTGTATTTTAATTGTTTGAAACTGGACTGCGATTTCTTAAAGAGTTAGATCATCGTTCATTCTGGGTCCCGTTTGTGTGAGCTGTGCTTTGCCACTAACAGCTGTGTCCTTTCTCTGCAGTGCTGTGTGTTTGTGAACGTGAGTCCAGACGTTAACGACATGGTGGAAACGCTGAGCACGCTGCAGTTCGGTTCCTCTATACGGCAGGTTTCACTTGGAAAAGCAACGAAGAACATCGTACCGGCTAAAAACAACAAGACCGTCAAGTAGAAAGAGACGATGAACTGAAGCTGGACCACATTTATTTAACAGAAACAGCTGGAAGATGTCTTCATCTGCACTGCAGCTGTCAGTTCAGTACTGGTTATAGTTTATGAATGAACAAAATAAAACATTTTTCTATATGTAACTAAAACGTTGGTTAACAGCGCCACCAGTGGCTGTTACGTTAACATTACATCCTGTTCCCTCATTGGCAATAAAAAGTGATTAATACATAAAAATAAAATTACATATGGAACCTATAAACCTAATAAACTTAATATTCAAGAAAACATGTTTGTATTTATCTTTATTGCTTGAATGGAAATTAGTAGCAAGTAAAGGTTGAACTGGAACATCTGAGCCGCAGCTGCACTTCTGAAAAGGCTTCTGGCAGCTTTTAAAGTGCGAGTTCAGGGTGCGTAATGACTGATATTAGTTCTTTGCAGGAAAACGCAGTGCTGTCCGTTTATCTTCCAACTGACGGATGGAGCACCAACAGTCCTGGTGTCCCAACTGTCCGTGGTCCTAGCTGCAGGAGCCTCTGTTCTTCAGCAGCTGGTTGAGGACGCTGCTCTGTTTTAGCGCTCTGAGGTTGGAGATGTCCTCTGCGATGACCGGGACGTCCTCGCTGTGATTCGTCTCTTGGCTTTGATCCTCGTCGCTGTCGGACAGGGTACAGAGGAGGGCGTCGTTCTCGTATGTGGGGAAGTAATACCTGAGGAGAGATTGAGGTCAGAGGTTAAAGTCTCCACGAAACAGGAAGCAGAGAGCTGGATTTGGATCCACGGCAGCTGGACTCACTGCGGCTGGTTCCAGGTCGACACGTCCGGCAGCTTCATCATGTGACCTTCAGCCGCGATGTGACGGAGGACGGCGTCTCTGCAGTCAAACTTCTCCTGGCAGCCGTAGCAGCGACTCTGGTGGATCTGCCGCCGGATGAAGTTCACCAGTTTGACCTGCTGGTAGAACCTGAGATCTGGGGG